ATTTTTGTTCCTGTGCAGCATTTATCACCTCAACTTCTATTTCGAAAGACCAGGTCATTGTACCATGCGTCTTTCAGCTAATCGTACATTTACTTCCTAGTCGGCAGTCTACAGATGTCGCTGAGCCCCCAATGGACTACAATAGCACGATGGTCGGACCCGCAGTTGAAATTTTGAACTGTAAAGGTAATGTCGCCCCTCACATAGCGGCACGTAACGGTGAATAAGGGTGGATAGGATAACGGAGCGCAGACAAGGGTGAGGGCTTCCAGAGGAGCCTTTGAGGGGCTAAGATCGCCCTCCCTGAGCCGCCTTCTTCCGCAATGCCAACAAATATCGCTTCCGTTTAGCATCTGGGCACCACCTTCACTAGCTCCACGATGTCTTTGACACATCAATTCACAACCCTTATTTTTGAGTCTATTTGTCGCACTTCTCTCCACGCGTACAAGACAATTCAACGTTGTTGTGCAATTGTGGCAGCCAGAGAACAGCAAAAATAATTAATTGAAAAAAGAAAAAATGTTGAAGTACATTAATTGATCTTTTATCCGAATGGCACTCACCTGTCCAAGCTGTCACCAAGTAGTATTAGAATGACTTCAGGACCCATTCCCTTAAAATGCGCTATAAATGATTAACAGCAATAGAGAAAAGCTATCTGAAGCAAGTGTTTCCAAAATCAAAGGGAGCGCTTATTAATGATAAATAGATATAAACTCAAAGTCGGTGAATATTGGTGCGCCCATGGCACTACTGACAGCATTATATTCCAGCTGATAAGCTGTTTGCGATAAGACCCCGAGAAAATGTCCCCTGATGCATTGCAGTTGCAGCGGAACATTGGACACTTTGTCAAAAGGTCATTGCAAATTTCATTATTTCAAAAATCCCATCTCAAATCCCTTTGAAATTAATTGCTTGACCACGACCTAGTAGGGGAAGAATAAGGTAAAAAGAATGTCCCACAAAACGACATCACTTTAAAGTGGTGGTAGGCTCTCCCACGAGAGAATCCCATATTTCATCTAAAAATTTCCATAAGTTGAGTTAGTAAGAAAGAAAATGCAATCATGTTGGTAACTGAAAACACTTGACTTACATCTGCACTCCTCCTATGACAGGATGTCTTCGGTTTTCCACTTCCATATCTTTACCCCATGAGTTATCTGATATGCTGTTGACACCACTCGAAAATTTCCTTGGACTCCTGAAAATAAAACGAAAACCGATTGAACAACAATAATAATGTAAAACGGAAAAGGGCTTTGAAGTTTGCTCGATATTTTAACCACATCCCCTGGTTAGTGGTAGTATGACAATATGGTTCACCTATGGAATTACTAGTGCTGCTAAGCGGCTAGACAGGGAATAGAGAAGCGAGCGAAGCCACTGAAAGAATTCTAAAACCCCCCTTTTTGCGGGTCGATTTTGAAATAGAGCTGGAAACATAATGACGAGGTGTGCTGGAGATCGGTGACGTGAGAGGGGACATGAGAGGTGACAGACCTCGGAGCAACACCCACCAAGTCAATTTCAAGGCAGGGTCATTTACTACAGGTAGAGTCACTTGAGCAAGGACTATTAGCCGCTTTGTTCCACAACGTTTACCTCAAAACTATTCCTAAGTTGCAGACCAGTGTGCTTCATGTGCACAACGGCTGCTAGCAGGCGCTTGGCCTGTGTATTCGAATGTTTATTATATATAGAGAGAGGATGTGAATCAAACAAAACCTCTATGAACTCCTCATCACCAAATTCCTCTACATAAAACCTGGAACTAAGAGTTATACCCAGCATCTTCTTGAATTTTAGAAGATCATATTCAATGACTTTCGATTCATGAACTAAAGTGCTCGTCATAAATGAGAGGTTGCATTGTAATCGTTTCGATCATGGCTACAAAACCAGCCCATCTTCATAACACGCGTGCGACAACTTGATATTTACCGGTTCTAAATTTATAGAATGTCTCTTTTTCGTCTTTCACATTTTCTCTTCTCTCTATGCCGCCCCAACTTTTCCACATCAACTTATCAGATTGACACAGCATCTCGCTAATGGCACTTACAATGACGCATTCGCTTCTCGTAGAGAACAGTGTCAAGGTCACCGCGATTTGCCAAAATTCACGACAAATTGGTACCCCAAACTAACGCAGTCTAGACTTCTGTTTAAAGAACCCTTGTCGTTATGCAGCTAACTGGTGGGACTGGAACCTTGATGTGAAATAGGGTGCACCAAAATCTACTAGCTAACCTAGTCGAATCTTAAAACGCTTCAACGATCCTAAATAGAAGTCGAATACGCGGCGCATTCGGGAGGAACCAAAAAACGCGTTATCAATCTCTCATCGATCAGTGCTCTCTCCTCGCAGGTGCCCACGAAAATTCACTTATTTGTCACACAACACGGGAACAAATTTTGTTGTGAACTTTGAATGCATGGAAGGTGAAACTCGTTGAATGACTCGATGTGTGACCTTGCGTGACGAGAGTTTTACACTGTCGTCTATGTGGTTCCACCCTTACAACAACTATCACACAGTCATTCTCTTTTGATTACCATCGCCGTGTCGATATCCCGTTTCTCCCATGTGTGAACCCAAACTTTCATCCTGACGGCCCGCCCCCCTCAAAGCTACAGCCTGGTTTTATCATTATTTCCAAAATTCACGCTCGCTATGACCTGGGCATCCTTCCCGGACATAGCGCATTCCCGAGATAGCCTTTTAGAATCCTACAGTCTTCGCATTAGCTGGCATTTCTCCTAACCGACTTTCGATACATTTCTGGTTCTCAGAGGGATGCGATAGGTATTCGCTCGCACTTCTGAACTGCCTCCTCTCAGCAAGGCACCTTGCTTTCACCAATACCCTTTCTCTCCTTGTTTATCTATCTGCCCTTTTTGGCACAATCAATATGTACCTACTGTATTTAGCATGATATTCAGTATGTTGCCGGCGCTTCTTATTCTGTGTTTTGTGCCAGTGGCAACTGCACTTGGACGAACTCAAGCAGTTGGTGTGAAAGGAGTTCTTATATGCAACGATAAACCTGCGGCGAATGTAGAAGTGAAACTCTACGATGAGGACAAGCGTAAGTGGTACAGTTGAGCAAGCATTAGGTCAAACTGTACCCCCATCGATGTCGCGAAGTCTCACAACATCCCTGCTGTACAAATTTAAAAATGCTAGACGGCCCTATTGTTAAGCAGAACTCCTTTTTTCATTTTGCTTTCTATTCTCTGAGATTAATTTCACTACCAGGGGTGCTTTCATGGTAAAATGGCTAGTAATCCCTTCTTAGAAGACCCTACCTACTTGTGACTTTCCAAAGAGGGACAGTCAGAGTTGCGCTTTGTGCCGGGACATTTGAACTGAAGCTAGGCTTCCGGTTACCATCAATGGCCACGTATCAACGTATCGAAATTGCAACTTTACGCTTATCCGTTTAATTAACAACTCAATTCTTTCACATCAGTTCTGCTAGGGGGGGTAGGGTGGTGGCAAGTAGCGCCAATTACGCTTGCGCATAGTCCGTTGCCAAATCACGGATCGAATTCCCTCTAAGCTATCAAGCTTCCTCCTAGAGAGTTGGATTATTGGTATCCATTATATATACAGTTATTATTATAGTTTGGAAGGATCAACACTGTTGTATCGACCGAGCCTGCGAGTACTTGTTTATATTAGCGAAATCGCTTTCAAATACTACTACGATCTATAATGGAAGTAAGATACGTGGCGCATCCCAAAAGCGACTTATCAATGCCAAATGCTTGGGTATTGTGATAGTCTGGCATCGTTACTAAGACCTGTGCCCATTACCCCACCTACTTTAGCAGATTCCACATCGAAATGGGGTCAGTGCTATGGACCCACTCGATATTTAATAGTATTCACAATCCAATATTTAGCAGTTCCACACAATTCAATATTCTATATTTCCCTTCGAGCGCATATTTCGTTTAAAAAGCATTCCAAATAATTAAAATTATACAGGCGGTAAGCAATTTCTCTAGGCGAAACTCCCAAAAAAGGGAAGAGCAAAAAGGCTGTTAGTAACATGCGAGTGTTCGGCGAACTTCTCATTAAATTGATATCAATGTAGAGATTGATGGCTATCAGTGAAGGAATGGCACTATTGAGATCCAAAACGACGGAAATTGGCTTTCTAGCAGGGAGAGAAAGGAGAGATTTATTTAATTATTTGAAGAAAAATTTCACGGAAGAAATTCAACTTGATTATGAATCATTCATGAAAAGGTTTATCTGAGCCTTCAAACGATCCTTCGATCAGGGGCTTTCACGGTCCATTTATTTCTTTTTTTTCACAAATCCTCTCAACATAAACTTCACTGAAGCGTGTAGGGTTTGCAAAAACGTAAAGCTATCTATTGTATGTGAAATAAAACTATTCACAACGTCGATCCTTTGGATACTCACAAAACAGGCGGATAAATTGCCAACACAGAGTCCACAAAGAGAGATGATTCCGTCAAGTGTTATTTTAGAAACACATTCCACTCTATTTGTAAAGGCACTCGCTTATAAGTAGATACCTGTGCTACTCTTACTGGTGTGGACCTGCTTTTAGTACAGAAGAGGAAGGTTGCACCAACTGCGAAAACGTAGCGGCCTCGGGGTTCTACCCACAGAACAGCCTGGGTGCTCTTAGAGGCAAGGGATCGAACTAGTAAGTTGTGGCACTGGAAACGAATAAAAAAAAGTTGCGAAAAGAACACCAGTGAGGTAAAAAGCGAATGTAACCAAAGGAAACATTGTAATTCAGGATTCCCTTCCTTGCGAGGTCAACCGTGACACTACGGAGAGACACAGCGCGGCGAAGAGAACGAACACGTGAAAGGGATCATCGTACGAGTAGGCGCACACACCATTCTGACGAGCAGATATGACAGCAGTTGCAGCGAGCGAGGCAAACCCTTGTTGCCCCTTGTTGCGCACTTTTGACAGTGCTACAACGCCGCACTCACAAAATCTGCTACCCCACTCACAAAATAGTGCCCTGAGGACCAAATCGCGACTCGTAACCTTCAGGCTGAGAGTGCCACGCCAGTAATGAAAAATGGAAGATACCGACGTAGAGAACAGAAGCAAAGCCCCACTCCATAGTAGCGGCGAAAATAGTAGCAGTGACTTAGGGGCGGGGCTATGCTGGTGGGCGGGGTATATAGCCTTACTTACGGCCTCAAGCTTGTTAAGCCGTGACGACAAGAGGGTACATACCCTGCTCTTGTGTACCACATTTCTCGCGCGAAATCTCCATTTCGTACAGAAATTCCGAACCCCGTCGTTAAAGGCAAAGTT